TTTTTTTTAAGTTGAAGATTTGCAAATTACATCCAGGTGTTAAATGTTTATTAAACGGGGAGGGGGGGCGGTAGGCTCGGAAACTTTATCATGTGTATAAGACATTAGCAACCATACAAAAAACAGTACAAACCAAAGAGTGAATGATAGTGTGTTCTATCAAATGATACTGTTCTATCAAGAATCCAGAGTAAAATTTGATTATTCAATTACTTATCAATGTGTTCAAAATATTATGCATCTTTAAAAAATCTAGTCTAATTTTCATCTATTGGAAAAAATATTTGTGGATTGACACACAGGTAACAAAGATATTAAAATTATAAATTGTAGGGAATAAATGAAAAATTCCTTTAAACAGTGTTTCGTTTGAAAAAAAATCATTATAATGTAAATTTACAAGAAAAAATAAAAATACTTATTGCTTTCATAATACTATCAATCCATTTTAACTACAATTATTATTAACACATTTTGCTTAATAGCTTTGCAAACCCAAATACTAACCAACAGACTTACAATAAGAAAACACATTTTTTTTATGAAGAACCTTTTGCCTTTGTTAAAGGAATTGTGTGTTGATTAGCCTTGTGAGCTATGTTTCCAAGTGACTTCTATTACAGGTGGATTGTAGATGTTATTTTTACCAGAGAATTTGGAGGTAACATTTAGTAGCCTAACTCCAGTGGGTATTGATATTTTGGATAATAAAATAATATAAATTATTTTTTTTTAAACAAATTGTTTATTTCTTTTATGTGATAAACATTTTTTTTAAATGTCTTTTTAAATAAATTTTAGTCAATTATTTTACCGTGTGTTTCAGGGGCATTAATTCAATCCATTATTACATTAAGGACACATGACCTCCCCCCCCCCCACCCCTTTTTAAAAAAACAACTCCTAAATACTTTTATGATCTTGGGAAATCTTGGGAAATTTCATGACCAAATCTTGGGAAATTTTAAAAAAGTGAGTGGCAGCCCTGCTTCGGCCTTGAAAATATAAACATTCAGAATTCAGGCACTCATGGGCCCTTTTGGAGGTGGGGGTGGGGGAGGGTAACACTGATAGCCCTTTATTTGAGTTACGATGTCAGCTGCTAACCTACTGCGCCGTGTTGTCGTTGAAGCAATAGCGGTTACATGAATTGACTTATATGTGTTTAAAATTAACTACTCATCTGGATATTTGGCTTACCTGTAACTGTAATATTACTATTAGTATTAGGTGCCTGGTAAGTGCAAGTTTCACATTTTGCTTGTTTTATTTTTACTATTTTTTTTAGTTTTACTGATTATACTATTAGTAAGTATTTGAAACTGAGAAATCACGACAATAATGTATAATAATATTAATGGTGACAAGGTTCACGGGCATCGTATCCCATACTGCCCTCCCAATTTTTTTTTTAGTGGGAAAAAACTGGAGGAGGTGAGGGGGGATCACTGCAAAGAGTAAGAGTAAGAGAGAAAATCTTACCATGGCAAATCCTAATAACTAATAAATAAGTATTATTAACTATGATTTATGTCTAAAATTTATTAATATTAAATAATTAATTTGTGTTCATAGATAAATAACACACTTTAAATGTCTAAAGTAAAGTCTAAAGGCATAGCCTGCCATAGAAGTAGAAGGAAAAGAATGTAGAGCCAGCATTACTTAGTCATTATTTTTTTTTACTATTCGACTATGTTTGTTAGACCTATTCTTTGTTCAAAACTTATATTTACAACCCAAATGAGGCCTTTTGCATGTTATTAATTGGTATGTATGTTAATGAAGTCTACAGTTGCAAATAACCTAGCACCCCTTCTTCCCCCCCCCCCCACTCCTTACTCCCCCAAATACTAAACACATTTCTAATTCTAACTGTACTTTGGACTTCCATTTTTTGGTTTAAATTAATATATTGTTATAAGTCTATGGGCTTCCCCTGGCACACTGTAGAAGTTCAGAGTCGGCTTTTGAAAAAAAAACAACGTATAGAGCAACTTTGAACTTGATCAACTTGATGAATGTTTGCTGAAAAAGGGGCCTTTTCTTTGACTGTGGTGGTTATGGACTGCTTTCATATGCTCTAGAAGAAAAACAATGTCATGAGTGTGCCTTCTGCACTTATCTCCATAATAAATCAAAGATTTAAAGTGTTCAACATACCAATAACTCCTGACATATTTATGTACAACACTTAGGTTGTAAGAAATATTTCTGAAGCTATAGACCAGGGGGTCCTCAAACTTTTTAAACAAGGGCAGAATAATGTCCCTCAGACACTGTCAAGGTCAGACACTATAGTTTGACAAAAATATGAATTCTATGCACACTGCACATATTTGATTTGTAGAGGGAAAAAAAATTTGAAAAAACAACATATTTAAAATGAAGAAAAAATATTACCAACATAAACTCAATAGTACTTCAAAAGGAAGTTTGGGTAATAAAGATGATCAATGTCTGGTTCCATATTTGGCGCTGCTAGCCAGGTACCCTTATGGCGACCAGGCGGACCAGATTAAGAACCCCTGGGAAGCAGATTAAGTGTGCCATAGTTTGAGGACCCCTGTGCCATGTGATGGCAAGGTCCCATAAGTCTGAATCAAGTTCACCCTGTAAAAACATCTGTACATTTATATTTGTTTTCATTTCTAGGAATCCTGCTTTCAGACAATAAAATTAACTTCAAAGTTGAAAGATGGATACAAGATCTTTGAGCTCCTACGGTTTAAACTTCAGAGCCTTGTTCTACATGGTAACACCTAATGAAACATCTTATGAAAAATTTAAAGATGTGCCCAACTTTGTTCAGGAGGTATGTTTGAAAAGAATTTTTATTTTTTCTAATACTTGTTAAATTTATATTTTGCTTTTTTTTCCCACAAAAGAATGTGTTAAATGTCAGAAGATTATTTTATTATACTCTAGATCAGTGTTTACAAACTCTTTATGCTTTGCCCCCCAACCAATAACAGTGGTTAAATTTTCAAAGTCTCCTGTCTATCGGAGCCTAGCCCCACCCCATCCCCTTATGTTCTCTGCAGATGAAATTATTCCCATAAAAACAATCAAAGTGTTCAATGATAACAAGCCTTGGATGAGCAGAGAAATAAGGGAGGCCATACTCCACACAAAAAACATGTTTAAGATTAGACAGACAAGAAATAATCAGACTCAAAAAATGACTTGAGGAAAAAATTTATCAGGGTAAAGAAAAACAATGCAAACAAAAACTAGAAAGCTTATACCTTATAAATAACTTGAAGGCACATGGACTGGTCTAAAACGAATAACAGGATGTATTATAATAATAATAATAATAAGACGTCTTTTATAGCGCTGAGCTCACCGCGCTGTACATAAAAATTTTATCAAAAGAGACATAATCATGACATTAAAATAAAATACATTTATGAAATAAAGAACAGCAATGTATATTCACCCACCCCACCACATAACTTTTTCAAGGCAAACCATGGACGGCAGCCAGCGAGATCATTTATCGGTCAGAGGAGGGGAATCAGTCAGGGTAGTATAATTTTAAAAGATATGTTTTTAGTGCAGTTTTGAAGGCCTTGTGTGTTGAGGATGTGAAGAATTTTGTAAATGGCTTAAATGACATTTATTGTCGTTTTGACAGTCTTGATTTTGGAAATGTACATGATGACATGATGAATTCATTTAACGACACCAGTATTACACAAGATGATCCATTACTGTTCACTGAGCAGGATGTAATGTCGTTATTTAAGTAAGATGCCTGCAGCCAAGGCTTCGGGGCAAGACCAGCGAAGTTGACGCTTGTTAAACTCTGCTCAGAAAAGCTCTCCTGTATTTTTGTCACCAGTTTATATTTAATTTAATCTTATAAAACTCATACCATACCAAAGCTACGGAAAACTTTAGAAATTATACCTATTCCAAAGTAAAATAAAGTCACTTGCAATAATGACATACATCCTGTCCCACCTTCCTCTATTGAAATGAGATGTTTTGAATTACTTATCCTCAGAATATTTTTTTATGAAATACAGCGAAAACTTGACCCCCCCCCCCCCCCCCCAAAGTGTTTATAAATTTGCCAGTAAAGATATATGAGTAGTTCTCACCATTAATAATAATCTAACATGGCATGTTCTGCATGTGCAACAATTTGAAGCCTACTAAACTTCAGTATTACGGTGTGGGAATTATGGTCTGACATTGAACACATATTAATCAAGAAAGCTAGTAATATCACACAAACTAAGCATCCTTCACTTAAAGAACTGTTTGAAGAAAAATGTTCTGGTAAAACTAAATTTAAAAAATTTGAATAATACATTCCACCCTCTTCATCACAGATAAATAAGATCATCTTGATCAGGGCAAACTTTTTCTCTTAAGTTAAGAACGAAAGATAGAAAAATTATTTTGTTTCCCAGTCTTTACGAATTCACCAGCATGGTTACCAAATCTAAATAGTCACTAATTAAGTCAATATGTCACTAAGAGAGTTCATTGATGGCTGATTTCTACACTAGAGAAATACTTAAAGATGTTTTCTGTTTAAATTTTTACAACTGTAAAATGTCTTATTTATAATATGTTCTTATTTATGTGCTGAAAAAGTAATAAAAAAAACATTTCCATTTATTTGGATCAATAGAAGAATCTTGTCATGTAAGAATTTGAACCCTCTATTACATTTAAATGTGAACGTAAGGGATAGTATAATAATATAGGGCCCTCACTCATGACATTTAAACTGATACAAAAAAAACATACATTGCTCCTTTCTTAGGCAGTTCCATATTGTACAATACTAATGGTCCTCGAGTGCTTGCTTCTCAAACTACAAGGAAAAGATTTGCCAAGGATTAACGATGGGGTCAACAGCATGACTCATGGACTGCTGTCAGCTTTGCATGTGTGAGTCAGATATAAAAAAAATATTGTCGCTCCTAGCCAGGACTTATCATTCAAAGATTAAGGGCTTCATTTTATTTTCCAAAACAGCTTAGTGTAACATAATAAAATAAATGTCTTTAACTTATAAAAAATACAAATAAAAATTATCCTCTATATCAGGGGGTCTTAATGTTATGGTCTGTAATCCACTCATCTGCAGCTCTCTACATCATGGTCATGGTTTAAATTCTAAAAGTTTATCTAGTTATAATATAAGATCTTTTCAAATGCACATTTTAAGGTTGTGTAAAAAATCTACCATTAGCCTCTGCCCAAACGGCCACCAATAAATTTAATAGCATATGTTCAATTTTGTTAATAAAGCAAATTAATTGTTTAAAATGTCTGCTGCAGCAAATTATGTAACAATGCACATCGCCATTAAAAACTGAATACAGTAATTTATGTGCCTATCTTTTGTAAATCTTTTTGAGCAGGTTGCTGTTCAGAGCCATAGAGTTAGTGATCTATGTATGGATCTACCATAATTGGCGTTTTATAGATCTTCCCTGGAATAATCCCTGGACCTGGATTTTAGGAATGGTTTGCACTGATTTCTTGTACTACTGGTTCCATCGATTAAGTCATGGTATGCTCATCAAATAGGATTTCTAAGGTGTTTTAGGGCATTTTATTATATTCAGTTGTTTTAAATTATTTCTTATTTTGGTAATTTTATTTTTAAAATAAGCATAAAATATTTAGTTTAAAAGATTAATCAAATATAATTTTTAAAGTGATGTGTATAAATTTAAGCCTAAATTCTACTGCATCAGAGAGTAACATTGTTTGGGCATCTCATCAAGTCCACCACAGCTCAGAAGACTATAATTTTACAACAGCATTACGACAGTCCCTCATGCAGAGATACTATTGCATGGTAAGTATTAGAAAGGTGTTTTTGCCAACCTTCATTTCTTGTTTTATTTGTTTGCCAATTAGTTACAACTAGAACTAGTTACCAATAGAAATTTAAAATTAACAGTATTTACCAGTATTGGTTGCTCAGACACTTGAGAGCTATACAGATTAAGAATTTAAAATTTTTTAAAACACCAATAAATGAGAAATATTTACTAAGAGTATTTAGATTGAGGTTGTTGCTGTCTATTCTCGTTTCATGATATAACTCACCCTTTGTTAATTTTTAAAATTTCCTATCCATTTACCCAGTTCTTTGGTAACCTCATCTTTCAATGAAATTTCACGAGCAATGATATTGTTGTATTACAGCTGCTAAAATTTGTTATCCTTTCCTTCTACAGTTAATGTACTTCCCCATGGCTTTGTGCATACCTCCGACAGTTTTCCATGTGCATCAACAGTTCAACCTTCTTTTTCAGTTCTGGCTTCATACTGAGGTAAATCTTATGAAACAAAGAAGTCTTTATGTAAATTCACCATGGTGGTCATGTCTTTCCCAAACTGTTTTTTTTTTATGTTTCTTCATACTTGTGCATAACAGAGAGTAAAAAAGAATAGAATAAAACACCTAAAACAACTCTCATATTTAAAACATTGACAGCAGTGACTTGCAAACATAGATGTTTAAAGTTTTAAATACATGTGGGATGCGAAGAGTTTACTTCCTTACCAAAAAGTCTCCTCGTTATCAAATTGGCCCGAGACGTCAATTGGGTGGGCCACCCCTGAATAAAATGAATTAAGTTTAAAGATGAAATTTTGTGTCTTGATTCTGTTCACAGGTGGTGACTACATTAGGTCCACTGGAATACATCTTCAACACCCCCAGCCACCACAGGGTACATCACGGCAGAAACCCTTACTGCATTGACAAAAATTTTGCTGGAACACTTATTATTTGGGACAGAATATTCAGTTAGTTTATTTCATAAAAAATAAGGGTATTTATTTAAGTTTGTGCTTCATTTTATAAACTTTAATGATTAGAATTATCATAATTTTTAGATGCTCCTAAAAGGTGTTTAAATAGATACTTGGGGATGGATTTGATACAATGATAATCTTTCATTAACTTTAACTAATGAAACCTAATTTCTCTTAATCTATATTTTACTATAAAATTGTATGGTATTGGTATTTGCCATATGTCTGCAAAAAGAAATAATTTAAAATTTTGCAGGGGTTTCAAACGTATTTGATTTTGAATTGAATCCTGCCATATATGAGATAAGAAAAGATTCTTTTATTGATCCAAATAAATGGAATTTTTTTTTTTACTACATTTCATTTTAGCACATAAATACATACCGGTACATATTTTAACCAAGACAACAATTTCATGATAAATTAAGATAAGTATTTTTTATTGATCCAAATAAGCGGAAATATTTTTGATTACATTGTTTATTTTTATTTTCAGCATTAATAAATACATATTTTAACCAAGACAACTTTTACTATAACAATTTAAACACAAGACATCTAAAGTATTTTTCTATTGTAGAAATCAGCCATAAGTGAACTCCTTTAGTGACAATGACTCAATTAGTGATCATTTAGATTGGGTACCAGACTATGGTGGTGTTGTTTTTGTTTGATTTCTTTCCAAAAAATTTTTTTAGATAATATTTAATTCTTATAAATTCATCCATAAAACTTGAATCTTGTCAGGAAGTTAAATTAAGTTGTAGAATTAGCATAATAAATATAAAGCTAAAATGTATTATAAGCAAAAATGTCTTTTTTGACAGATCATATCAAGTTATGATTATTACCTTATTATTTTTTGTATTTTACTGGCCTATAAAAAAAATATCACCAAAGGTTTCATTGCCATCAGATAAAGTATCCTCAAAATAAAACTGGCAAGCAGAATTAACCGTTACTGGTTATTTTAATATTTTGTATTTACTTTTAGGTTAAAACTGTAATATTATCATATACTATATATTATACAGATACATTCCAGGCTGAGGGGGAGAAAGTTGAATACGGTTTAGTTCACCCCAACAACTTCTGGAGTCCACTTTATGGCCAGGTATGACTTATCAAGCATGGCAAAGATGAGTTGAGATGAGTTATTCATCCAATAGTTTGTGAATTTAGTATTAATTAGTCAAATATGCATCGGCCAACATTTAAATTTATTTTTAAAAAGTAAAATTTATTAATTATCTCTGTTCTATTATTTTAAATTTTGTATAGGCTTGCAAAAAAAAAGACAGAACAATTTTTTTTCAAGCCTAAACATATCTTGTTTCACCATTTATTTACTTCGCATGGCTTGAATGCAAATAGTCATATTCAAACAGGATGTCTAATCCTTTGTCCTCCCTTTTCAGTTTTACTACTATTGGTATATAGTTGGACTGGTTAGAAAATACAAGGGCCTAGCCAACAAATTATCTGCTGTGTTTAAAGGACCTGGCTGGGAACCGGGGAAACCTTGGAGAGGCCTTTATGAAGAGATCCCAGAGGTATGCATCACAGAAGAGTTATCTGAAGATAATTTGCTTGCCCAGTCTTGTATCAAATATTAAAATATGTTAAAAAATTGTTTTGGTCTTTTTAATTATTAAAATAATTTTTTTAAAATAAAATTACTAGCAACATAGAAGAATTTGTCTAAATAATAAAATATGTATCTTAAATCATTGCCATTATATCATTATCGGAAGTATTTTCTTTCAGGTGCAACCACCAGTAAAAAAATATAATAGTAACCTCCCTTGGTGGGCCAATGTCTATGTACTAATACATTTTACATTAGTGTTTGCATACTTTGGTTTAGTGGCACCATATAAAAAGGTGAGAAACTCTTTTTACACTTTACATCTGGTACTTAAAGCTGAAGCTGAGAAAAACAGTTGATCTTAAACTTAAACATGTATTAACAGTAATCTCATCATTGGAGATAACTTGTCAATTTTTTTTTTTACCATTACATCAAGAAAGGGTTTTTGGAAACTTTATTGATTGGTTTGTCCATCATCATATTTTCATGTTTATGTATGCTAATTTCTTTTTCTTTTTGCAGCAAATGACGTTTCTAATTAGTCTTGGATTTGTTGCTTTCTTTATTTATTCAGTGTCTGTTTTTGGAGTTTTATACGATCACAGGTGAGTTGGGGATCGATTTTTTTTTTTTTAAATGAAACTAGAATTTTAAATATTTTTTTAAAAACTATTTTCAACACTAGATTCTAGATTAATTAAAAGTTATATTTTTGTGATGGGAAAACAGTGTTAGGTGGCTATTGTTAAACTGAACAATAATTTCTAAAGGTGTATTGTTACAAAATAAAAAAAAAATTGATGTTACTGTATTTAAAACATTTTCCTCTTCCCAACAGAAAATATGGCTATCTCCTGGAGTTTTTGAGATGTGTATTAACACTGGTAGTCATTCACATAGTGAGTGGACATGTCACGGTGGACATGTCTTTTGCTACGGCACTCATGATATTATATGTTGTGTCTGCTGCACTGTGGGTTTTGCTGGGAGCACTGAATTATGATATCTATGATAAGAATTGGCCAAGGATCGAGGATCATGGCATTCCTCTTGACACAAAGGTTCCACACAACATGAAGCCAATAGCGCAGAGGCTACAGAGCACAGAGGACATACTGCCAGAAAAGCCCGGGTTAACTCTGCACCTGGAGATATCCTCCGAATCTGTCTTATCAGCCATCTGCGCACCCACAGCCCAGTTCATAGCTAACACCAATACGAGGATTTAACTCTTTTAATTTCTTTTATATAAAAAGTGTAACTTTATATACTCAGTTTACTTTTTGCACATAATATTTGTTTGTTTTTTTAAAGTATTCTAATACTTATTTAATCCTACAGTTGGAAGCAAAAAAATTAAATAATTAAAGGATTATAATAATTTTGATCTGTTTTGCGAGATGAAGAGACACATGACATGCCGAAGTGAGAGGCGCCATCAAGGGCACATTTTTGTTGCACCCAAATCGATGTCACAGTACACTCTCTATGAAAGATAATATGACTGGTGAAAATATGAAGATAATTGAGAACTAGAATCAAGTGATTCTGATTTATATTTTGCTGATAATCTTCCATTACAGCCTACTGCAGTAGTAAATACCAGAAGGTTAGTTTTCAAGTGTTTCTTCATCATTTTTTTCTGAGTTTTATTACAATTTTTAGAAATGACTCAGTTTAATTTTTGCTTAAAATATTTACTAGCCAATTTAATATGAAATTTCTTATATTTCCCCAGTTTATAATGTGAATATTTTATGACATTAAATAATAATGAAGTGGTTATTCTTAGTGACTGTTGCTAAGGAGTGTAAACAATAGATTTGCAGCTACATGCACTTATGATGATATATTTCATGCTAAAGAACATATTTCTTTCACATCTCTGTGTGTGTTGTAAATAAATATATTTAATTATACTCAATATATATATGTCGATAGTCTCTCTTATTTCAAATTATATGATAGCAAATGTATTTTCTTACATGAGTAGTAGAACTAATGCTGATGTTGTAGACGACCAAATATTAAATCATAAAATTTATTCATGTATACTTATCGCTAACTTCAAATTTATACCATAGAGGAAATATGATAGATCAAATAGTTCCTGAATGTACAGATTTAAAAATAAATTGTAAAATGTGCTATAAATAAGTAATGCAAAAAAAGAAAAAATTCATAATCAAAAGTAGCACATATGACACTTAACCTTTGTCTAAAAAAAACAAGTAATTGTTTATTGATGACCTTTAAGTGTACATTGTCTACTGATATGATTTTTTGTGTGTAAATAATTTTAAATAAAAAGGATAACCTGCAATTTTTGTGAATACTTTGTGGAGGGGTGCTGAATTTTTATATTATTATATCCTCTCTTTTCACACATTTTACAAAACCTTTTACAGTTTGATCAAATGCTCAAAACATTATCTGATTTCTTTACATGATATACACAAATGAATTTTTTTTCTGAATAAACAGATCTTATGAAAAATTCCAGGTAGTTCCTTTTTCTTCTTTGCATCTGATCACCAAAACAATTTTATTACAATTTTTCATTTAAAAATTATGCATTTTATTTTTACAACTTCTAAGTGTTAAACTTACATGTTTAGTACGGTAACAAATACTTATAGAAATCTCATACATTTCCTTGGAAATTGATATAAACATAATGAACTTTAGACATGGATTCTAAAAGTTATTGACATATTTATAATGTCACTACAATTCTCTAAAAAGAAATGAAATTCAAGGAATGCAAAGAGTTAAGTAATCATTGTTGATTTTGACTGACAAACTATATAATAACATAACTGTAAAGCTGAGAAAAAAAGGAGATCAATGTCTGTACACGTTTTACTTGACAATATTGAAGTAGGTCAATATTCTTCATTTCTTTTTTCGTATGTGCTATGAATATAAATCCCATTAGACAAATACCTCTGTGTCAAAAATAATTTAAAAAATGAACATGTTTTATATTAATGGATCCACATTTTATTGCTCAAAATAATGTTAGTTTGTCCATCAAAATCAATCATGACCATTTTATATATGGGATTGGTGCTGAATCTGTCCATGGGTGTGCAGATGGCTTTTTAGGCCAATAATGGCACGAAATAATATAGAATTGTGTGTGTGCCTTCATCCTGCAAATTAAATGACAACACAGAAAACTAAACTCCAGCTCCAAGCCTAAAGCATGTTTCAAATTATTTGTTCTTATTGTTTGCATTGTCTTCTTGTTAACTTTGGCATCTTCTTGTGGGTATGAACATGTTATCTGTTGATCTCTGTATGAATATTTTTTACTTACAAATAAATCCAATTATTTTGCTTTTTTTTTTTTTTTTTTTTTTTTAAATTTTCCCTTTAATTTTAATTTGATAAAAATTACTTTTTGCAATTGACGATTTCAAGAATCAACAGACATTCCATTTTTTATTAAGCTTTGTGACCATTATACCCTTTTACAATAATGCAAATGTTGATCATATATTTACTTTTAATTAAAGATTGTAAAAAGTATTTTAAATTTGGTGATTGATGACAAAAGTATTTTTATTATGTACCTGTAATTTAAAAAAAAGTTATTTTAAAGTTCATTGATGCCTGATTTGTATGCTAGAGAAATACTTTAGATGTCTTGTGTTTAAATTGTTATAGTAAAAGTTGTCTTGGTTAAAATATGTATTTATTAATGCTGAAAATAAAAATAAACAATGTAATCAAAAATATTCCCACTTATTTGGATCAATAAAAAAACTTATCTTAATTTTGAAGATTTTGTTAAAATTTTAATAAAGTATGATAATTATAAATGGTATTATTTAACATTCATCTAATTCCAATCAGTTTTTTTGAATCAGCGGACGTTATAAAAGCAACTGCAACAAAAATTAATAAATGAGGACCTTCTGTGTATTACAAATTTATTAAAGTAGTAATAAAATAATATACACACAATCTTGTTCTTAAAAAACTTAAATACAAATGAAAAAATTAGGCCTAACATTTTTAAAAATTAAATCATAAGATAAATTTGTGTTCATAAATAAATAACTCGCTAACCCGTCTAAAGGCATAGAGAGAAAGTAAAATAGAGCCAGTATTATTATTTGACTGTGTTCAAAACTTATATTTACACTCGCCAGGCTCCACTCCAACACATAATTTCACATATTGAATTCTAACTGTTCAAAATATTGTTCTAAGTCTTAAGGGTTAAGGGCTTCCCTTTGCACACTGCAGAAGTGCAGAGACGGCGTTTTAGAAGAAGAAAAAAACGTATAAACATAAGGAACAACTTTGAACTTGATGGACATGACATGATGAATGTTTGCTGAGGTAAATAGATATATGTATATAATTACTTTACTCATTAAAAAAATGGAAAAAAATTTATAGGGCTAAGACTTTCATTATGTTCTTTAGACTCAAGAAGGAAAAAAAAAGCATTTAGTTTAGCTAAGTTTTAGGCTCAGGGCCTAGCCTTCTATTTTTATCTACACATAAATAATAAATTAAAGATAAAAAGTCTCCAAAATATAAATAACTCCTGACATATTTCTGTACAACACTAATGTTAAGTTACATAATTATAATACTTTTTTAGTAGTAATAATTGGTTAGAGGTATAATTCATTTATGCCATTGGCATTGCCGCAATTGCCATTGAGATTGAATCATTAAAATTTAAAAATGTAAATTTGTATGCGTCCGCCGGGTTTCCCCGGACATATCCTCTTTTTAGACCCTTGTATGGGCGGCTTTCCATAAATATGTATTTTGTCCGTGTTTTTCCCCTGTCCGTCCCCGATCGATGCATTCTTAGTTACTTTTCCGTGATAATATACTATTCTGACAAAACACGCGCGCCAGCAATATTTGGTTCAATGGTAAGGGTTACTAAGGTAACCACCGAAACTTCGGGTTCCGGAAACCATTTTTTTTTTTGTGTGGAAAACAAAGCGGAAACGCCAGTTCATTATAATTAATAAATCATTAATTTGCCAAGTTACATAAAATATTTTCGATTTTTAAAATGCCGAAACTTAAGTGTTATTTACAGAGTCACTTAAAGAACAATACCCATGTGTGCGAATATCAATAAGCGCTGCATTGGATTTAAAGGTGCACGTCGAACCGCCGCAGAATGTTGTGTTCTCGGAAAAACTTCATCTACCAAACTTTGGTCCAAAGTAAAATACAATTTTGCATAGCAGCGGGTTTGAAAAAGCATGTTGGTGTTTCACAGTATAAATCAATGGCAATGGACTGCAATTGTCGTTTCTTAATTATCATTTTTACCTTATTCTAATAGTTCACGCAAAAACCAGTCAGTGTAACAACGTAAGAACGTCGTAATGTGAATGTGTTCTGAACACTCACACCCCCTCCCCAATCTTCATAAAGTAAAATCATCACAACCCCCCCCCCCACACACACACTCAAATATAACGTCACAAACCCACCCCCAAAAAAACCGCCACAACCCCCCACCCCCCCCCCCCTGCAATAAAAATCTATCTGCCCACTACTGTCCTTTAACGGTATCCAAATACTGCACCTGCATTAGAAATTTTTCCCTGGAACAGTGACTCTTAACCAGGAGTCAAAGGACCCTTGAGGTCCTGAAGACCCATAAAATTGCATTAGCTGCCATTGCTATTTGAATTTGTTGCTGCCTTAAAAAAAAATAATTTTAAATGTATTTTGATTAGCAGCATTAATAAATGTCTTTGTTGTGAATTTTGTTTGTGCATTACTTATATTAGTAATTGTTTTATTATTTCGAGAAAGTTACAACAATAACTAAAAAAATTATTTTTTTTCTCTCAAAAATTTTCATTACAGTATAATTTGTGGGGGGAGGTGGTGCTGCTGAAAATAATTAGAAATTGAAAGGGGATGTGCTGCAAAATGGTTAAGAATCCCTGCCCAAGAACATCCTGCCCTAGAACATTTACAAAGATCATTCCCCCTCCCCCCAAACATGTGTCAACTATATTTCGTTCCATCTCACTTCACATGGTATCCTTAATTCTAAGATTCCTGACTCCAGATTTAGACATAAATTCTAACAACTGTCAATAAGTCAAGATCACTAAACCCTGATTCTCCTCCTCCATGGTGGCTTGTAACTTGATCAGAAGTCATTTTTGGCCCTCACATGTCTGTATATATTCTCTCAGTGATCATAGTTTTAAAATAAAATAATTTTAATTTCTGCTTAAAGAATAATGTTAAAAATGTACTGGCATGTAATTTAGTGTTATTAAATGCACTTTTTGCAATATTTTCCGCTATTTTATGTAACGTCACATTGATTAAACATCCCCCCTCCCCCTGGTCACACATCATCTCAAAAATGGGACCCTCCCTCCCCCCTGGACACCTGACGACATTTATGGATGGCCCCTAACTTTTATTTTTATTTGATACAGTGTCTTTGAACAAACCCCCCCCTCCCATGCCCAATGACAATGGTACATAGCCCTAAATGATCTGTCCATTTTGTGTTTTTCACCCCACATTCCAGATTTTTTCACCAATATACCTAATAAAATTTTCAGACTGAAGGCATGTTCACAATAATGAAACAAGAAATTAAATTTAAATTTAACTATATATATATATAGTATATTATTTATTGATGCTTAAACTATGATATCAGAAATATATGATGTCATTGGAGGTGTTTCAAATCCACCAATATTTAAGTATGAATTATGAAGGCTATAGCTACAAAGTCAAAGCTTGGCTTATGTCCATCAATTCACATAGAAGCCTATATTGTTGTCTTAGCCTACTGGTATTTATCTGTTTCATATAAGGAAAAATTCAATTCAATCCGCAGACCTGAAGGAGTGTATCTTATGAGTTCAGTACCCTTCAGTATTTGAATATAGATAATCAACTGTACCAGGGGTATGTGTAATAAGTATAGGTCTAGCTCCATTCACTCATGCAGGAGCTTTTGTTTGAAATTAAATTTATATAGTTCATATAAGAAAAAAAACAACTAATTTTGTTTAAAGTTTAAAAAAACCAACAGTATTTCATTAATTTGTTTTTGTGAACATTCCTTCAGTTTGAAAATTTCATTTAGCTTATTGACTTATTGGTGAAAAAAATCTGGCATATAGGGTAAAAAAAAATTTAGGGATCATTCACGGGCTATGTACCACTGGGGGCTATTCAAGACACTTTAGAAATCAGATGAAAAGAATATTTAGCCATGCACAATTTAGTGTTATTTAAATATTACTACCTGGAGCTAATTTAATAACAAATACATGCAAGTTTACATGCTAAAATAGAAATTGGTTAAGAAATAATATACACACCTGAACTGCGCTTTTACCGAAACTATTTACAACACAAACAATTTTTTAATGTATTTTAACTTTACTTTTATTCATACAACACTTAAGATTGGTGTAGTCCTAGGAGCTGGGTATGGGTTGATTACAGGATTTGGTGAAAATTTTGAGTGTCCTCTTTTTTAATCTGAGGACTTTCGGTAACCCTAGATTCTTAAATGCAATAGATAGATTAAAATGACTGAGACATACCCGGTACTAATACCTAACCCTGTTCTCAAAATAATTTAAATTTATTGTGATGACCATACTGCGACAAGCAGCTATTTGGATCATTAGTTAAATGCACAATTTAAAATTGGAAGTATAAGCCCCTCAAAAAAGCTATAAATGCATCATGTTACAATTATTTCAAATGTAGGAACAAGTATAGTAGGCCAATGTTTTAAGTTTTTACCTAGATCTTGGAATGATATCATCATTTATCAATATCTGAATTTGTTGGTGAAGGACATTGGATTACACACAGATAACATCACAGTTGGAGATGCCTAGTAAGGTATTATTATTATATACTATACATTTTTATGAATTCTTGAGGTTAATGTTTTCCTCTATAGTATAAAGCAACAGTGAAATAATATTTATATTTTCATTATAATATTTTATTTCATTAATTGTGTGTTAGGTTTAAATTAATTAATTTGTTGTGAAGGTGAGAGTGAATTTAACAAGATAAACTTCTTGTTAATGCTGCACCTTAAAGTTCATAAAGGTCAGCTGTTAAAAATTACTTGCCACTAAATGAGTTGAAATCTGATATCATTTTACTTTTTAAAAACCAAGGCTTGGCGTGAAAATTTAAACAAACGTAAGTATGAATCATGAATTGGTGCGATTTATTTTCTTATAAACTAGGCTTTCAATATTCATTCATAGTATTTATAATGATATTCTTATTATTGATAAGTCGTATGATAAAAATGTTTTCTATTACCGCCTATGTAATATC